ATGTGGAGAATTTAAACAATTCAACAACTTTTAAATTCCGTTACATTTTAGATGTCTTTTCTTTGTGTTTTACGAAATTCAAAGTAACAAAGTAGAAACAAAAACAAACCAAAACAAAAACAGAAAAACAAGCGCAAAAGCAAAAGAAAAGCCATCTCTGTGTGCCTTTCATGTGCTTCATTTGATGTTATCGAGGTGCTGGTAGTGTAAACTGCACACATGCTGATAGGGTAACTTCCGATAGATATCACAGTGTCTTCAAATGCTAAGGAATAAATTGCGGTTTTTCATTAAATCCAGCTTTCTTGGATGAGTAATGATTTAAGCCAATGTTGAAAACATAACTTGATGCATTCCTTTTGTAAAATCATAATTTTTTTCCGTAAACTACAAGGTTTTCAATATTTTGAGATTCTCTGACTCAAAAAACGACCTTTTTGAAATGAAACAAAATCTATGGATAGCATAATAGAGATTAAAGTTAAAATATTAAATCGAGGGAAAAGATCCCAAAAAAGTATTAGTATGCTTGGAGGCCTTAAGTTTACATTTTTTCAGATTGAGTCACATGACCATGGCCATGGCCTGCTGACATCATCACTGGTGTTACTGATGATGGAAAAGTGAAAAAACTTAAAATAACTCTGAACTGAGTAAAAATTGCAAGGCTATAAGAGAATAAATTTTCCTTAGCAACGGCTTGAAAAGATCAGTTAATGGGCCCTTAAACTCAGTACATCTTGGGACATGAGAAACTATTTTACATTTGTTCTTTTCTTGCTTTTTTATCCATTGTACAAAAGTCGTAACTCATTTCTTTTAGCTTATTGGTTTGTTTTGGGAGCTAAATTAAGGACTGCCTCAGCATTAGTCCTGTCGCTGACTGATGTCCAACTCCAGATCTAGTCTCTGTAAAATGACATCAGGAACTTTATGCCAGACTAAGGGGTTATCTCAAGCTGATACCCAGGATTGTGCTTGGTTTTCAAGCAATTTACTAGTAATCCTGTATTAGTTTGTTCTGCCCAAGCTCTCTTCTCCACAGTCTCCCAACCAGGGGGAGAGAATGAAGGGTAAGGAAGAAGTAGGTGTGCAGGAAGCTAATGATGGGAAGAGAAGGTAGATCAATGGTTCTTCTCTTCTATC